ACTGACTGCTATTATATTAGAGTCCAAAAAGTTGGATTTTTTTTAAATGCAAGCTATTGGGACACCAGTGAGTGAGTGGTGGCACTGGGCGGGCCCTGAAACGCACACTCGTGAAGGAAACTGACTGCTATTATATTACAGTCAAAAAAGTTTTGTTTTTTTTAAATGCAAGCTATTGTGACACCAGTGAGTGAGTGGTGGCACTGGGCAGGCCCTGAAATGCACACTCATGAGCACATGTGCAGATAAAGGTTTTATGCAAGCTATTGGGACACCGGTGGTGGTGGTGGCACTGGGCGGGCAACCCTGAAGCGCACACTCGTGAAGAGCGGCTGCTATTATATTACAGTCAAAAAGTTTTGTTTTTTAAATGCAAGCTATTGGGACACCAGTGGTGAGTGGTGGCACTGGGCGGAGCCCTGAAACGCACACTCGTGAAGTAAACTGACTGCTATTATATTATAGTAGTCAAAAAGTTTTTGTTTTTTAAATGCAAGCTATTGGGACACCTGTGGCACTGGGCGGGCCCTGAAACGCACACTCGTGAAGGAAACTGACTGCTATTATATTACAGTCCAAAAAGTTTTTTGTTTTTTTTAAATGCAAGCTATTGGGACACCAGTGAGTGAGTGGTGGCACTGGGCAGGCCCTGAAACGCACACTCGTGAAGGAAACTGACTGCTATTATATTACAGTCAAAAAAGTTTTGTTTTTTTAAATGCAAGCTATTGGGACACCAGTGAGTGAGTGGTGGCACTGGGCAGGCCCTGAAACGCACACTTGTGAAGGAAACTGACTGCTATTATATTACAGTCAAAAAGTTTTTTTTTTTTTAAATGCAAGCTATTGGGACACCAGTGAGTGAGTGGTGGCACTGGGCAGGCCCTGAAACGCACACTCGTGAAGTAAACTGACTGCTATTATATTATAGTCAAAAAGTTTTGTTTTTTTTAAATGCAAGCTATTGTGACACCAGTGAGTGAGTGGTGGCACTGGGCAGGCCCTGAAACGCACACTCGTGAAGGAAACTGACTGCTATTATATTACAGTCCAAAAAGTTTTTTGTTTTTTTTTAAATGCAAGCTATTGGGACACCAGTGAGTGAGTGGTGGCACTGGGCAGACCCTGAAACGCACACCCGTGAAGGAAACTGAATGCTATTATATTACAGTCAAAAAAGTTTAGTTTTTTTTTAAATGCAAGCTATTGTGAATCCAGTGAGTGAGTGGTGGCACTGGGCTGGCCCTGAAACGTACACTAGTGAAGGAAACTGACTGCTATTATATTACAGTCAAAAAAGTTTAGTTTTTTTTAAATGCAAGCTATTGTGACACCAGTGAGTGGTGGCATTGGGCAAGTGGGCGCAGTATATGCTGTGAGCGTGTCACACAGGCTGGCAGGCAGGCAACTGCAATTACATTACACAGAAAAAAAAGCAGACTGATGTTCTAGCCCTAAAAAGGGCTTTTTGGGGTGCTGACCTTACAGCAGAGATCATGTATGTACGTAGCGGGGAATGTGGTGCGACTAAGAGTAAGGAGACTACCCCAATTCTCCCCCCAATAATGACAAACAACGAATATTGGATGAAACAGGCCACAGCATTTATTAAACTTACAACTGTAGGACTCATCCGAACTTTATTCTTTTTCTTTAATTCAAATATAAATAAACAGATAAATATATATACATACCATAATTAACATATAAATTAACATATAAATTACACTTATTGCCCTACAGCCTCCAACTTAAATAACCGTCCTTGCCAACGAACATAACCAGGTGCCTATGCACCAAAACTTTACCCACTGGTGTCTCGCCTCCCCCCTCGTCCAAACCAAAAATTCCCATCATCTTAAATGCTCTACCACCAGCCGTCTTTTTGCTCAGTGGGCACGTCCTATTCGGTAACTTAAAAGTTTACCTTACAGAGCAGGGGAGGTTGAGACCCACCATGTCCATCTCCTGACATTCCATCTGCTCCCCAACCCTGTTGGCAAGGACACGCTCCCTGCTAGCTGTGATGGAACAAAAACAGAAAATTAGGGTGGGTGGGTGGGAAGTTGTTTGCTGGCCAGAATCCCAAAAGGCACTGAGGTAAGATGATCCCTGCCCCACTACAAACCCATAACCACGCCCCCTAAACACATACAGCCACTCCCCTAAACACACACAGCCACGCCCCTTAACGCATACAGCCACTCCCCTAAACACATACAGCCACTCCCCTAAACACATACAGCCACTACCCCAAACACATATAGCCAATCACTAGCACCATCCCCACACTCATACATGTGCCCTTGTCAGCTATGCTGACTCCCCAGGGCCTGATGAGTCCTTCAGGACTGTAGTGGACACTGAATACACTAGCCCAGCTATCAATTTCCCTGTCAAATCAGCAGCAGCTACACTGTCCCTCCTCTCATTAAGGATGCAGCTTCACAAAGAATGTAAAATGGATGCTGTCCAGGAGGTGGGAGGGTCTGCTGCTGATTGGCTGGAATGTGTCTGCTGACTGTGAGGTATAGGGTCAAAGTTTACTCAATGATGACGAATAGGGGGCGGACCGAACAGCGCATATGTTCGCCATCCGTGGCGAACGCGAACAAGCGATGTTCACCGGGAACTATTCGCTGGCGAACCGTTCGGGACATCACTAGTCACCAGTTTGTGCAAACACGACAATTTTTATGTATAAGAAACACATCGGGATTTTCTCATCATTTCTTTAATGCGCCAGATTTATTTTGAATCCTCTTGGATTTCATGCTCATTTTATTTCTTAAGGTTTTTATCATTGATTATATTGACAAAGTAAAACAAATGTTTAATATCAATAGGGAAAAAAGAGGCCCCCATGTAGGGTGCAGACAAGCTGATTTTCTCACCTGACCATCAGGGACCAGAATTCTTCCCTCTTTTTCCAAAGGTAAGCCTCAGGGAGCTTAAAAAAAATAAAAATTACGATTATTTTCCCACACATATTTCACCTATCCCCACACTACTGCTACTATTCCCCATCACAGTCCCTATGCCCCTACTATTTCACCATCCCCATATCACAGTTCCTATCCTCCTAACAGCTCATAACCCCAGACTCCGGCCCCTATCCCCATCACAGTCCCCATGCCCCCACTACTCCACCATTTCCACATCACAGTGCCTGTCCCTCAAACTAGCAGGGGTTGTATGCCAGGATCCTATATACCTGGAAATCAAAGCACGGGGGATGGGGCTTGTTGTCCCTTTGTCTCCCAGGTACTGAAAGCCCGCCATACATGCAAGGGGTCTCCCACACCAAATGACAGGGGGTCTTCACCCCAGGATCCCCTGTGCCTGGGAGCAAATGCGCAGGAGAAGAGAAGATCCCTTTGTCTTCCAGGCACAGAAAAGCCCGTCAAAGTGGCCAGTGCCCCAAAAGTGTCCCCACCAACATCCAGAACCCCCACACCATGCCTTTACTGACTGGGCTCCGTTCATGCGACTCTGGTGCGAACCCCAGGCAAGGAAAGTGTCTCCTTTTGGTTGGCGTTCGTCTATACAAAATGGTGGCCACCCAGGGGAGCCCTCATTAATTACTTCCCTTGCTGCTTCCCACTTATGTTGCAGGTGTGAACGTTCTGATTAATTGGTGTGAACATCTTAATGGGGCACCGGGATGATCCCCGTTCGGGAGACAAACTGGTTCCATTCATATAAAAGCTCCAGAACAGGGAACGGGGCACAATACACAAAAAGCTAGGGACACACACAATAATACAGAGGGGGAAAGACACGAATGGATGAACAGAGGTTCTGCCACAGGCACCAAGGATATAGTTTCGTCACACCCTACTGCTGCACCATCCCCACATCACAGTCCCTATCCTCCCATCACAGTTCCTAACCCCTACTACTGCCCCATCCCTATCACATCCTCTATTCCCCATTACTGCACCATCCCCACATCACAGTCTATATCCACCTATCACAGTTCCTAACCTCCACTACTGCCCCATCCCTATCACATCCCCTATCCCCCATTACTACACCATCCCTACATCACAGTCCATATCCACCTATCACAGTTCCTAACCTCCACTACTGCCCCTATCCCCTCATTACTACACCATCCCCACATCACAGTCCCTATCCTCCCATCACAGTTCCTAACCCCTACTACTGCCCCATCCCTATCACATCCTCTATCCCCCATTACTGCACCATCCCCACATCACAGTCCCTATCCTCCCATCACAGTTCCTAACCCCCACTACTGCCCCATCCCTATCACATCCCCTATCCCCCATTACTACACCATCCCTACATCACAGTCCATATCCACCTATCACAGTTCCTAACCTCCACTACTGCCCCTATCCCCTCATTACTACACCATACCCACATCACAGTCCCTATCCTCCCATCACAGTTTCTAACCTCCACTACTGCCCCATCCCTATCACATCCCCTATCCCCCATTACTACACCATCCCCACATCACAGTCCGTATCATCCCATCACAGCTTCTAACCTAATAAGCCTGCAAGTTCTGGTGGCCTAATGTCTCAGAAATGCCCTTTAACCTGAGATTGATTTGTTACAATCTGTCTTCTATATCACTGAGCTTGAGCAATAATTTCTTCAGTTGGTTGTCCATTTGTTCTAGCTTATTCAGAAGTCTGTTGTATGTCTGCACATACTACTCTAGCTTGGTTTCCACATGCGCCATCCTTCCGCCTAACTCCTAGAAATCATTTCGGATATATCAGATTAATTTCGTATGCAGGAATTTGTTGGACATAGTGTCCTATATGGTCTGCAAGATCGCTTGTATGACAGGTAAGTTCTCCAGGGTGGGGGGTCCATGGGCTGAATCTAGGTCTTTCTCACCGCCATCTAGGTACTTGCTGGGTCTATGCCTTTCCCTGTGTAGATTTAGCTCCAAAAAAATGTGTCTTATCTAATTCTTACTTGTGTCTTTCCTTTTTATGTTGGGTCTCTCACTACGGAAATTATGTTGTGGGATCAGCAGTAACGCTCTCACAGTGGCGTCCATACACAGTGGCGTCCACGAGCACTGCCGTCCATTTGCAGAGCCGTCCATGCGCAGAGCCGCCCATGCGTAGAGCTGTCCATGCGCAGAGCCGTCCATTTGCAGAGCCGTCCATGCGCAGAGCTGTCCATGCGCAGAGCTGTCCTTGCACAGAGCCTTTGGCATCTGCGGGTAATTTGCCCTGGATTTTTCAGCTTGTGCTGCTTTTTTTCGTTTGTGTGATAATAAACTGCAATACCGGTGCCGGCAGGTAGGTGGCTGTGAATGGAGAAAGGCAGGGATAGGAAGCTACTTTCCCTGCTTCTTTCTCCTGACTGTATCCGCAGGGGAGCAGCACAGAGTGCAGCCAGCAAGCATGGGGGGCAACCTACAGATCAGGTAAGTGAGGGATGGGGGGGCAACCTACAGATCAGGTAAGTGAGAGATGGGGGGGCAACCTACAGATCAGGTAAGTGAGGAATGAGGGGAGACAGCCTACAGAAGGTAAAGTAGAAGGAACAGAAATGAGCAGAAAGGTTCTGCAAGGGGCAGGAGGGATCAGCAAGGAGCAGGAGGGGTCAGCAAGGAGTAGGAAGGGGCAGCAAGGAGCAGGAGAGGTCAGCAAGGAGCAGGAAGGGTCAGCAAGGAGCAGCAAGGAACAGGAGGAGTCAGCAAGGAGTAGGAAGAGCAGAAGCAAAATTGAGCAGGAAGGGTCAGCAAGTGAGAGATGGGGGGCAACCTACAGATCAGATAAGTGAGGGATGGGGGGGAGACAGCCTACAGAAGGTAAAGTAGAAGGAACAGAAATGAGCAGAAAGGTTCTGCAAGGGGCAGGAGGGATCAGCAAGGAGCAGGAGGGGTCAGCAAGGAGTAGAAAGGGTCTGCAAGGGGCAGGAGGGAACAACAAGGAGCAGGAGGGGTCAGCAAGGAGTAGGGAGGGCAGCAAGGAGCAGGAGGGTGAAGTAGAAGGAGCAGAAATTAGCAGGAAGGGGAAGTAAGGAGCAGGAGGGATCAGCAAGGAGAAGGGAGGGTAAGCAAGGAGCAGCAAGGAGCAGGAGGGGTCAGCAAGGAGTAGGAAGAGCAGAAGGGGCAGCAAGAAGCACAAATGAGCAGGAAGGGTCAGCAAGGAGCAGGAGAGGTCAGCAAGGAGTAGGAAGGGTCAGCAAGGAGCAGGAGGGTGAAGTAGAAGGAGCAGAAATGAGCAGGAAAGGGCAGCAAGGAGCAGGAGGGGTCAGCAAGGAGCAGGAAGGGTCAGCAAGGAGCAGCAAGGAACAGGAGGGGTCAGCAAGGAGTAGGAAGAGCGGAAGGGGCAGCAAGAAGCAAAAATGAGCAGGAAGGATCAGCAAGGAGCAGGAGGGGGCAGCAAAGAGTAGGAAGGGGCAGCAAGGAGCAGGAGGACTCTGCAATGAGCAGAAATGACAAGTGAAGTGATCCCTCCACTTCATTCTGGACAGCACATCATAAAGCTTTGGTACCTGGGCCTGGCAGGAAACCTTGCACCTTCTCATCTCCCCAGGTAAAAAACATAGTGTTAATGTGTACACTTTTATTTACTGAGTGTCAGGAAACACGTAGGAGTGCCGCTGATTGGCTACAACTGTCAGCTGGCACTCTAAGCCAATCAGTAGCTCCCCATTCATAAAAACATAAAATATTTTATAAATCGGGAACTAGCGATTGGCTTAGAGCTTCAGCTGACCACTCTAGCCAATCAGTGGCACCCATGCCTGACGTCAATCTGCACTTCCTGACACTCTGTTTCAGAAGCCGAATACCACTGAGTGACCTGGAGATCTGGAGCTGGAGGAAGCCTTTGGGGTTAAACCATTTGAGAGCGGTTTAATCCCTTAAAGGAAAGAGAGCGCCCAGTTGCCTCCTGGCATCATAGCATTTTAAATTAAAAGTTGTTATGGTGACCAGAATGCTCCTTTAATTTGCATAAAGGAACACTACATTGTCAGGAATACAAACATGTATTCCTGACACCATAGTTGTAAAAACGCTATTCACCCTGGCTTTATGTGATAATGGCTATGCTGAAAAGAGACTTGCATCCATCAAGTTCAGCCTTCCTCACATTTGTTTTTTGCTGTTGTTCCAAAAGAAGGCAAAAAAACCGAGTGTGAAGCACAATTTTGCAACAAGCTAGGAAAATAATTCCTTCTTGACCCCAGAATGGCAGTCCGATTTATCCTTGGATCAAGCATTTATTACCCTACATTGAAAGATTATATCCTTGAATATTCTGTTTTTTCAAGTATGCAACTAGTAGCTGTTTGAACATCTGTATGGACTCTGATAAAACCACTACTTCAGGCAGAGAATTCCACATCCTGATTGTCCTTACAGTAAAAAAAACCTTTAATTTGCCTTAGACGAAATATTCTTTCTTCCAGTCTAAATGTATGGCCTCGTGTCCTATGTAAAGTCCGGTTTGTGAATAGATTTCTACACAATGGTTTGTATTGGCCCCGAATATATTTGTATAATGTTATCATATTCCCTCTCAGGCGAGTATGTTTTCCTGGCACTATAGTGGTCCTTTAATGACAACTCTTTGTACTCTGTTTTTAAGCCAATGTTCTACCCAAGAACAAGCATTTTCATCTAGACCGATTTCCTTGAGTTTGAACACTAATCTATTGTGTGGAACTGTATCAAATGCCTTGGCAAAATCCAAATAGATCACATCCACGGCAACACCCTGATCTATACTTCTACTTACTTCTTCGTAGAACGCAATCAAGTTAGTTTGACATGACCTGTGCTTCATAAAACCATGCTGATTTTTGCTGATAACCATGTTCTTCTCAAGGAATTCTTGAATATTATCCCTTAATAACCTTTCAGATATTTTACCAGCCACAGAAGTTAAGCTCACAGGTCTATAATTTCTAGGCAAGGATTTTGAACCCTTTTTGAATATAGGAACTACATCTGCCTTCCTCCAATCCTCCGGAACACTTCCTCAAAGAAAAGAATCTTGAAAGATTAAAAACAGAGGTTCACTTATTTCTACACTTAGTTCCTTAAGTACTTGTGGATGGATACCGTCAGGCCCTGGAGCTTTGTTTATATTAACTTTCTTTAGTTGCTGCAGCACCTTGTCTTGAGTTAACCAATTACAATTATTCTGCAAGTTTTTAGTAGCAATCATTTGCACATCTATTGCCATGGGTTCTTCCTTAATATATACGGAGGAGAAATAGTTATTTAAAATTCCTGCCTTTTCCTGGTCTTCATTAACTAACACCCCCGTTTCAGTTTTTAGTGTACCTACACTTTCATTTTGTTTTTTTTTAGAATTTATGTACTTAAAAAATGCTTTGGGGTTGGTTTTGCTCTCTTTAGCTATCATTTTTTCATTTTGAAGTTTAGCAAGTCTAATTGCCTTTTTGCATGCATTATTTGCTTCCTTATATCTTTTATAAGATGCATCCGACTTGTCCGATTTAAATTATTAAATGCCCTTTTCTTATTTTTAATCTCTCTTGTTTTACTTCTCTACTAAGCCACATTGGTTTCAGTTTGTTTCTTTTATATTTATTAGCCAATGGTACATACTGAGAAATGTACCTTTCTAATATTTGTTGGAAGATGATCCATTTATCCTCATTGTTTTTTTCACTAAAGAGTTTATGCCAGTCAATATACTGCAAAGCTGCCCTTAACTTATTGAAATTGGCCTTTTTAAAATTATATGTTTTAGTATACCCCATGTGCTTTTGTTTTTTTGAGTTTATTTCAAAGGACACTATATTGTGATCACTATTTCCCAAGTGCTCACCTAACTTGAATGTTTGTCAAAAGATCAACGATGTTTGTTAAAACCAGGTCCAGACAGGCGTCCATTCTAGTTGGTGCTTGTACCAGTTGTGACATGAAGGTGTCATTTAAAAAGTTTAAAAACCTAATTCCCTTTGCTGTGCTACTACTCCCTCTGTCCCAATTTATGTCCGGGTAATTAAAATCTCCAATAATTAAAGTGTTACCCAGATTTGCAGCTTTCTCAATTTGCTCAAACAGCTGTTGTTCCTCGTCAATATTAACATTAGGTGGTTTATAACATATCCCAACCAATAGTTGGTTTCCCTTCTTTTCCCCCAAGCAGATATTTACCCATAAAGCTTCCACATTTTCCTCATCGCATTCCACTTGCTTAAGATTTGGCTTTAAATCATGGTTGACATACATACCCCACCACCCTTCTTGTTTTTCCTATCCTTCCTAACATGTACCCATTTAAGTTAACTGCCCAGTCATGTGTCTCATCCCACCATGTTTCATATTGTTTAGTGTATGCTAATGCCTCTAGTTCCCCCATTTTGTTATTTAGGCTCCTTGCATTAGTAAGCATACATTTAATATTATGCGTCACGTGTATATTTTGTGAATTATCAACATTACATAGCTTCTCTGTTCTGAGATTGCCCCTCCCCCCATCTCCACCTCCCTTATACTGTGCTAAAGCCCATCTCCTTTCTGTCCTATCTCCATTTTGTAGATTGCTATGACCCTCTCCCCCTACTACTAGTTTAAAATCTCCTCCAACATTTTAGCCATCCTATCCCCCAGCACTGCAGACCCTCTCCCGTTTAGGTGCAATCCATCACTACTATAAAGGTTGTACCCAATCGCAAAGTCGGCCCAGTGCTCTAAAAACCCAAAACCCTCCTTCCTGCACCAAGACTTAAGCCATGCATTGACCTCTCTAATCTCCCGCTGCCTTTCCACTGTAGCGCGTGGCACAGGTAATATCTCAGAGAATATCACCTTGAAGGTCCTTTTCTTAAGTTTGCTACCTAATTCCCTGAAATCATTCTTTAGGACCTTCCATCTTCCTCTTACTTTATCATTGGTACAAACATGGACCATGACCGCGGGGTCATCCCCAGCCCCTCCCAATAATCCATCCACTCTGTCAGCAACATGCCGGACCCGAGCAGCCGGGAGACAGCAAACTGTCCGGTTGAGCCTATCAGAGCAGCTGATTGCCCCATCTGCTCTCCTAATGAAATGGATGCATGGATGCCATTACAATTATGCCCCCCCCCCCGGAAACATTCCTGCAGACGCCCATACACAGAGCCGTCCATACACAGAGCCGTTCATACACAGAGGCGCCCATACGCAGAGCCGCCCATGTGCAGAGCCATCCATGACCTGAATCGCACATGAGCAGAGCTGTCCGTGAGCAGAATCGCCCATGCACAGAGCCGTCCATGAGCAGAGTCGGCCATGCACAGAGCCGTCCATGCGCAGAGCCATCCATGCGCAGAGCCGCTATTGAACAGAGCCGTCAAAATTTGTCAGCACCGAAGTTGCTGTTTAGTGGATAAGGGAGTGAGCTGGATTTTCTTTCTTTATAATTGTATAAATTGGCTCCCATCAGCACCCTATTTATGCATGTTCAGATGAGTGCCCCCTGTTTTCATATATATATTTATTTGGGAGTCTAGCCAACTCCTTGGTTTTGCACCCCTCCCTGTCACAGGTGCCTCATCCCAGGGCCTATTTAGTCTTGTACTGCAGAGAGCCACAGATGCAATTTCTTCCCCAAGTAAGTAGCTCATAAAGCATGCATTAAACTGTTAGAGTAGGACCTGCCAAAGATGGGGTATATTGACATTGTGGCAGGCTTATGCAATGTATGATCATATAATGTAACTAAACCCCCATTATTTTTTGCCTAGATTAGGTGTTTTTTAAAAAAACTAACAAAATCTGTGAGCATCAAAGTTGCTGTTTAGTGGGTAAGGGTGTGCGCTGGATTTTTTTTAAATTGTATAATTTGGCTCCTAGCAGCACCTTAAATTGGTACAGGCTGAATAGGGTGACAAAGGCCAACTTAGGAATGGCCTTGGGGGTTGGGGGATCTGACAATACCCCTTGACATAGACAAAGGATCCAATACTTATATTGAGGGGAACCCAAATTATATCAGGCACCTGGAGAAGCAATTAACACACAACAGAATGAGTCCAGAATTACTTCTGTTCGTTTATTCAAAGTAGGGTGTATTTATAAACAATATTGTTCCAGCTTAGCTTGAAGGTTTAAAAATAAATAATGTAGTTAAAGATAACAAAATCAAAAGATAGAGTTAGTTAATGTGGCCACATATTTCATAAGATATAAAATTAGTTTACAAAACAATATTTGGTTACATATTTCATAAGACAGGAAGGTGGCAGATAAAATTAGCTAGCAAACAGTCACACACCGTACAGTTTCTCAAAATAAGTGCTCCGGTGGGGGCTAGAATACACAAGGAACGCAACTTATGCTGACACGTATACAGTATTTTACAGAGAAAAAGTTCATTACATAGAAAGAGCATCAGATGTAGATCTTAATTTAATTACGCTGAACATTAGAATCTAGATATATTCCCTCAAAATTCCCTCTTTTGATCCAAGGTTCATCCAACAGTCTAAGGTATATCCAGATGCGCTAGCCACACCTGTGGGATTTGTGTTATTTCTTCACCACTGTTCCCTTAGACAGGACAAACTGAAGGTCATCAGAGGAGGAGTATCTTCTTTTTTACAGGCGTATAGGCGTCGGAGGTAGATAAAGCTGGCGTGTAAGTTAAGGTTCGGCCAACATGAGGTTTTGAGATACATAAGTGAGAAAAGAGACATGAGAAAAACTTGAAAGTAAGAAAGATTAACAGGATAACAAATACTGCAATAAGTAGGAAATATAATATTTTCTTGACAAGTAAACTTAACCATGTACCCAGCCCAAAAGTCCAGCCCCAATTCTCAAATAACCCGGTGTCTTTTTTTATATCCCTCATTAGATGGAGTAAGTTCTGTATGTGTTCATGGATCATAGTTCCATGATCAGACAGGTTAAAACACATTCCTTTGACAGTCTTACATCCCAGTTCATGTTTCATTAATAGGTAGCCAATGGATGCTCTATTTTCAAGGATTGCTTTCTTATTTGCCTGGGTAATAGTAATATTACCAGGTACATAGGAATATGTTATATTTCCGCAGGAAAAGGCCCAACCACTGGGTAAGCGGACATGTTTCAGATGACTGGGCTGCCTTATAATGGAATTACAGAACATGTGATTTTTTACATGAGTACATATTGAGTCATAATATACTTATACTGGTGGAGCACCTACGGAAAAAGACCTTGGTAGTCTTGATATCACTCTATCGCACTGACTCAGAATTGCATGAAAATAAACAAACAAGGAGAGTATAATAGTGAAGTACTGATAGAAAATTTGATAATAGGGATAAAAAATACATTTATTCCATATACATATAGACATTAAATACTATCCAATACTGCAATAAACAAAAAGTATAGTAAAAAGACAATATATAGTATAAATAACAATATAAAAAACAATATAGGGAGCCTCTTACAGGAAAAAAGGTAGCGAGTATATGCAGTATAAACCTGCTATTCACACACCTTTTGTTCCCACTGGAACACTGTGTGCTGCATTCAGCTGGCGACAGATGTCTCAAATCCTCCACGGATTGATTTATATCGAGCTTCTCTGTGACCCGGTCATGCGTCGTGCTCTTAGCAGGATATTTCCTTGATCGTTGGTATAGAGGCAAAGACGAAATTCGCGGGGTTCCAATGACACCTCCCACTTGGACACGTCACCACGTAGCATGCGTTGCTACGACACTGCGTCTATGCGTTTCGCCTATTGGCTTTCTCAGGATGTCAATGTGATGACCTCACCCTGTTTGTATTGGGTATTTATAGCGTTTTTCTAATCCACTGATTGGATAGAGCAGCAGTCCTTATTTGCATATTCTGTGTGTATTTTTAACAGTATATCACAGAAAATGTATACATTACTTCTATATACTAACAGAATATCTAGCTACAGACCAATAATAATATAGCAAAAACCTACTAAAAACAGTCTAAAAGCAGATATGCATAAATATAAAAAAATAATAAAAAATAAATAAAATAAAATGGAAAGAGAAAAAATATAAACATATGATTAATATTCATTTCCAATGGTATGTCCCAATTATAACTTTTAACTTTTCTATATTACCATCATGAAAAAGGTGCATGCTGAATATAGAGGTTGAGAGAAGAGAAGAATAAAAGTATTAACTTCCTATCTACAATTACCAACATGTATTTTAAAAGATACTAGAATATACTTTATAAAAATATTTACTAAAAACTACACCTTCCCAAATTCCAATGATGTTGTAATAGTACTATTTTTTTATTTTTAAATTACAAGTTCAAATTTTAAAGGGACAGGCTTCACGGTACTTGTGTATATGTTTATAAAAAATGACATAACTCGAAATCATTATTTAGACCATATGGAATGAGGGTGTTTTAGTTCAAAAATCCACCTCATTATGTCTGTCCCAGCTTTCTAATAAAATCATCACCTCTTCAATTATAAAACAACTCTTTGAATACCTCTAAGAACAAGAAATAATGAGATCCCTTTTTAAGGAAGAGAGGGGTTTCAGAATTAATCCCCTTCCCCTATCCAATCCAAAAGGAGAAAAGAAATAGGGGAAGGAGAATACAGAGGAAAGAGGCAAGCGGGTCAAACTGTAGAACCAATTGATATTTTAATCTATTAGAGAATAGAGATATCGCGAACCGTTCGCGAACTTCCCGCGAACGGCTCGCCGCGGTTCGCCGTGAATGGTTCGCGGCGAGCTCCGGTCAGCTGACACATCCTGGCCAATCTCCATCAGACCCTCCCTCCCAGACCCTCCCACCTCCTGGACAGCATCCATGTTGAAGCTGCCTTCAACATGGATGCTGTCCAGGAGGTGGGAGGGTCTGGGAGGGAGGGTCTGCTGGAGATTGGCCGGGATGTGTCAGCTGACCGGAGCTCGCCACGAACCGTTCGTGGCGAACCGTTCGTGGCGAGCCGTGGCGAGCCGTTTGCGGGAAGTTCGCGAACGGTTCGCGACATCTTTATTAGAGAAGAGTTTAACACATGATCATATAAATTTATTAAATAAAGGACTTAAGTTTGCACAAACAAAGAATTTCAACAAGCGTGATTTTTTTTATAGATTTACAGAAATTTAATAGAAAATTATGTTTGAAAAAACATTTTATAAAAGAGACCAATATTCCTGAAGAAAATCAGAATAGTGATATAATCCATACAAATCTTAAAGAAAGATAATTTTTTTCCCCTAAATGGCATATGTCGGGGGAAATGAAAGCATTTGAGCAGATAGTACAAAATTAAATGAAGAAAATTAAGCCGCTTAGAAATTTCCAGTTTAATCTCACAAAATTAGAACAAGATGCCCTAAAAGAATTTAGAGAAGATTCTGAAATCGTAGTAAAACCGCAGACAAAGGGGGGTGGGATAGTCATTATGAGTAAAACATATTATATGAAAGAAGCTTATAGACTATTAGAGGACAGCAATACGTATAAAAAATTAAAAGCTGACCCTTTTAAAAGAAACAAAACAAATTTAATAAATGAATAGATTGTGGGTCAATGGCGGGGGTGCTGAATAAGAGAGAGAAAAAATATTTGGAATATTTAAAAGATACTGCGAATGTACTGAATATTTTGGATAAACTTAAATGGGAAGATGACTTCCTGTTAGTTACGGCTGACGTCTCTTCTTTATATACTATAATTAAACATGATCTAGGCATAAAAGCGGTCACATTTATTTTGGAACAATATTCCAAATATCCAGAGGAACAGATTAAATTTGTTTTAGAGGCAATAGAATTTATCCGATACAATAATTACTTCTGGTATCATGATAATTTTTATCATCAGTTCTGTGGGAGTGCTATGGGCACCAGGTTTGCCCCCAGCTACGCCAACTTATTTATGACACTTTGGGAACTACATTATGTGGATTTTAAAGGTAGCTGGGGGGAAAACCTGGTGATCTATAAAAGATACATAGATGACCTTCATATGGAATGGAGGCTGTGATCTTTTAGAGGATTTTATAAA